AGGCAGGCAGGCAGGCAGGCAGAGACAATAATTTTGATGTACAAAACTGCATCTATTTTCTTGCCACATCTAAACCACCTTTGGAAAAGCACAAACAGACCTTAATCCTGATTTGTGTGCCAAGTTACAGATCAAAGAAATATTGAACACGGATTTTCCGACTGACAATTCGAGATCATAGTGTTGTGATGATTCCAATACTTTTCTTCCCTATATTTTAGTGTAAAGAAAAACTAATAAAATTATAATTTTAAAAAAAATTAATTTTGAAAATCTTTTGCAAAGTATTTTGTTCAAAATATCAATATCTGCCACTTTATTATTTTCCAAGAATGATAAAAATAATTTTTCAAATGCAGCAAAATTATGAAATCATATATTTGATATTTAATACTACTTATAAACAAAATATTTTTTTTAAACAGAAGTCATATTTATTAATATATTAATATTCAGATATGATTTTTTTATTTATTTTATTTATATTCAATAAACGGAAGGAACCCTTTACAAGAAGAAATATTTCTTACATAATGACAGAAACATCCAATTACAAAGTATCAAAATAACAAAAATTACAGTGGAGTCATAGCCATAAAAAGGATAAGAGTATTGTAAAAAATAATATAATATTTGGAATCAAGAGTGTTTTAAAAAACAATTTTAAGTTGTCTTTCAAAACACTTAGGTAAAGTCAGGATTGAAGAAGAAGGTTAAGACAACTACAAACATTTTTATAATTGTAATTGAAAGAATCAATCCTATCAGCATAGTAATTGGTGGTTCAAGGTAATCTATTGAAGATTACATAGTAGCTGTAATTAGTAGATGTATCCTCCCAGAAGCAGGTAGGATTTCTCGTTCTAATATGAGGAATGTGAAGAAAGATAAGAGAAAGAAGTTCAGGGCAATTGATGAGACCACGTAGTATTTAATGAAAGAAAATTAAATCGTAGAATTTTCTCCTATCCAATTTAAATAAATTGTAGAATTTGGAAAGGTCATGATTGAATCTATGAATTGGTGTCCCATTTCTGAAAGCTATGTGGCGTAGAAATTTATGTTGTACTTTTTCCAAATGATTGATAGATAAATTAGTGAAACATGACCAAATGACAGAGACATTCTAAAATAGGATGAATCAATGTTTTACAAAGAATTAATAAGTTAACAGTGAACTGGAAGGATTTGGTGTTGCGCAAAATCAGACCCAGGGAATGCAGAGCTATATTAGCTGTAGTAGTTATATGTATATTAAAGTAAAGTTTAGAGTTGAAAATCACTCCGAGATCCTTGATATTAGAGACGGTGTTCAGGGACTCACCATTTAAAGAATATGGGTAGCTCACAACATTATGTCTCCGGGCAAAGGTCATTGCACAATACTTATCAGTGTGAATTCCATTTTGTTTGTAGAACACCACTGTGAGAAGGCAGAAAGATTCGAGATGATTGAAAATCAATGGATATTTAAAATAAAGAGCAGGATGGCATGAGTCACAACGTAATAATGGATTGATATATTTAAGAATCTTGATATAATCAAAATCAGAAAAAATGAGATCAAGTACTGAATTGTGAGCACTGTATATAACTTTGTGTTAGTTAAAGTTTAGAGATGCAATAGTATTAGACAGAACACCAATGCAGATATGTTAACTAATAGCCTGGAGGAGAAAGGTGTAGATGAACAGGCTCCATAAAGTAAGCCGTTCTGAAGTATGTTTGGAAGGTTGTAGTCGCCAGTAAGAAGGAAGCTGGAGTAAAGATATTTGTCACGGATAACGGATAGATCATTTACATAATCATGGTAAAGAGATATGTCAGAGTTAGTCGAGAAGTAAACTGTACTTAGGATAAGAGGGTGCATTTTTTCGAAAAGAGTGTTTGATATAAAGTTGCTCAATATGCTGGTGAATGTCTGGAATAATTGAGCACTAGATTGAGTCTTTGACAGCAATCAGAACTCCTCCTATCTCTTGTAGATGAACTAGAGCAGCAGTCGCAATATCTTCTATAAATCTTAAAGTTATTCAAAAAGAATTCGTCATTCGTGTAGTTCTCATTCAGCCAAGTCTTAACCATATAATAACATCGTAATGGATAGCAGATGTAGCAGTTGCTTGTCAAAGATCAAAAATCTTGGTGTGTAGGCCTCTCACGTTTTGGTAGTAGATATGTAAATGTTGCAGAGAATGTCTTGAATTCAGTTTTTTTCAGAGATACTATTTTTGGAGTGCCATGAACATACTTGATAGTTGAGTGCCGTTCACCATTAGAGGTTCTATGTTTGAGTTGAACTCGATTTTTAAGTTGGGATTGTTGCTTGCAGGGTCAACTCATTTTAATGATCATCATCATTTTTAATCATGATGTTTCAATCCATCCAACAAGACAAAATATTAAAGATGCACACATGCCCATACACAGTTTGAAATTGAATTTGAAAATGATAAACCTCATTAGCTCTATTGTTTTAGCTACATGACAACTTGTACATATTTGAGAATGCTTTCTTACTTTCGGCAAACTACTAAGAGGCTTGTGAGTAGTAATGAGACAGTTATGTAAATTTGCAGCCAAAAATGACACTTTTTGACAGAAAAACTTATTTTGTGGGCCTCTAATACAGAAAAAGTAAATAATTCGAACTTTTGTACGAAGTCAGGTTCCACATTTTGTTGCTAATGAAAAATTGGTTTACAGAAAACATCCATCCATCCATTAACAACGTTAGCAACTTAATTGTAGACAAGATTTTCACCATAACTGATATTATGTGATCATTCTGGCCCATAGCCCCATGAACTTTAAACGTATTTTTTTTATTTTTAGGGTTTCTTTACATGAAGCCTCAAGAACATTTTCAGAATTTTCTCAAAAATGGCTCCATATTTTCTCTATAATTTTTTCTCAAATACAGCAAAGTATGCTCATGAAAATAATGCAGGCCTAATATTCGTTGAAATCTCTGAATTTTCAAAAATTGCAATTAACTATGGTGACATTTTCTGGAGATTCCTATGTGGGTACCATCAAACGAATGGTTAAGACCAGGGTCAACCATCCAACACTGTGACGTACCAACTTTTCTGCGATAGTCTCTCAAATGGCATCAGCTAAGAACATTCCCTTCTTTGCCACTAGATTTTCTTCCTGTCCCGCTCTTAGTGACTTAAGATTCTTCAAGAGTTCCTTCACATTCTTTAACATAACATATTTGAAATTCACAAAATTAATGTTTGTGTGATCAAATTATAAACTGAGACCTAGTACTTCTCCATTTCACAGGTAACGTTGGACATAGCAGCAAGTTTTAAATTTGGAAAGGTTTTGCTTACAAAATATTTGTATACTACTTTTCTCCATGGTAGGATGTAGGATGCATAGAAACTTCAATCAATACAATTTTTTTTCATTTCTGTCTCATGCAAAATGCAGATTTGCACTCATCGGATGTCAGACCAACAGTCCGTGCGGCCTTGTCAATCCTGTAATGCGTATCGTGCAACAAAATGTTGGCAACAATTTTTAATCATTTTCACGTTGTGTTTCACTTGTTACAATGCCATTTTTTGGAGATTCTCTTTTCTGCCCAATTCAAAAATATTAGTCTGAATCGCCCAGCAAGTGAGAGTTTGATGCTGAGATTAAGACAGCTAATATAATTGTGTAGGTATTAGTC